TGCCCCACTACGCGCTACCGGACACTTCGAGCGCTCACGTACGCGGGGTGCGCTTGTATGCGGCCAAGTCTGACATCACTGAGTTAATCGTTTTGTTATTTTGAATTTGTAGTTTGAGTTCATGTTTTTCAGTTTTCATTTTTTGTTCACTTATCTAAGACAGTTTTTAATAAGTTTCAAATTATTATTTAGCAACATCTTTTTTATCCTAAGTACTTTGAGATTGTACCTAATCTATCTGTATTCAATAGATCGTTTGAGTTTTAATGAATTAGCTGATATGCATCTTATGTATGGTCTTGTTCAAGGTAATGCTACCGAAGCAAGAAGATTATATGTCCAGTCTTTTCCAAATCAATATGTACCGACAGATAAATCTTTCCAAAATGTAGACAGAACCTTGAGAGAATTCGGTACATTAAAAAAAAGAACAAGTGAGGGCAGACCTAGAGTAGATGTTGTAACGGAAGAAGAAGTACTTGAACAATTTGAGCGTGTCCCTTCTACTAGTGTTAGAACAGTTTNGGATGAAATNGGAGTACCAAAATCAACGATATGNGACATTTTATCAAGAAACTCAATGTATCTATATCACGTGCAACGAGTTCAAGGCCTTTCTGTTGCANATTATGGTCCCCGTTTGCAANTTTGTCAATNGGTTGTAAACAGAATANATNAAAATCCGAATTTTTGTNAAAATATTCTATTTANTGATGAAGCAGGCTTTGACAGAAATGGAATTTTCAACTATCACAACCTTCATAANTGGGCTTTAGAAAATCCTAAAGTAATTGATCAAAGGAGGCATCAACAACAGTTTAGTTGCACGGTATGGGCGGGTATTATTNGTGACGAACTTATAGGGCCACATTTCTTTGNAGAGAGATTAAATGGTCAGAATTATGTACGATTTNTTAGAGAACANATAGTCAACCTTCTTCAAGACGTCCCTTTAATAATACGACAAAACATGTGGTTCATGNATGACGGTGCACCTGCGCATTTTANCNGTGTAGNCAGAGATTATTTGAATCAAAATTATGGCCAGANATGGATAGGACGTGGAGGTCCGGTNGCCTGGCCCCCAAGATCANCGGACATGAATCCACTTGATTTTTNTCTATGGGGTCACGTNAAGTCAATTGTTTACANAAATGCGCCCAATAATATTGCTGACTTAAGACAAAAAATAATTCGTGGATTCCGAGAAATAAAGACGGATCGAAATGTTTGTCATAGAGTTCGAAATTCTTTTGATAGGAGAATAAGGGCCTGCATTCGTGCTAAAGGTGATCATTTTGAACACCTTATTTAATTCGATTTAAATACATATTCATGTTTATCCTTGATTTAAAAAATAATGTATTTACAAATACCAAAAATTAAAAAAAATAAAAAAATAATTAATAATTTAAAAAAACAATAAAATTTGAAAATTAAAAAAATTAGGAATTTAATAAAAAATTTAAAAAGGAATGCCACGCGGAATATAAACTACATTTTTTTTAACATAAAAGTGGCTATAACTCAAAAACGACTTATTTCCGGACCTATGTTTATATAGCTATTTTTCCTTCTTTTGAGGTCCCAAATCACGTCCCGAAATATTCGTCGCGATTTTCCGGACACCCTGTATAAAGGTTTCTACAAGTTTGCTGTGGAGAACCACATACATCTATGATCCTCCACCTTCCTTTGCTTTTCTGGCTTCGCCTCTGTATGCTCGAGTCTTGCTCTTCCTTTGTGTTCTTCATTATCTTTCTATCTTTTGCACTCATGGCTTTCTGCAACTTTGCTAGCTGCTAGTCTTATTTTATCATTTATACTTACGCTCACCCTTTATTTTGATTCAAGTTTCCAATAAATGGCGTATGGGTATTAACGGCCCTTTAACCACTACAAAACCGAAACGAACCGATCTGCTTATATAACTTTTTCTGAAATAATTATTTAATAGAATAGGCTAATTTAATCTGTAAGAAATAAGAAAGGATAAATACGGATAATCTCTTTTTTCTCATCATACATATCAAATCAAATCGTAACCAATTGTCACCTTCCTAAATATAGGAAAACTGATTAAAAAACACTTTAAACTATTTTGAGTTTTTTTGTTTCAGGTTGCGACCAGCCTCATCCGTTATCAAATGACGTCGAACCTTTAGTTTGGGGATCCTGACTTCTTGCTTCAGCTGCCCTGGGGGTCGTATAATACATTTCAAAAACAAATACATAAAAACGTTCTAATTTTTCAGATGTTTGAATAATTTTTAGACATTTTTATATATACGCTTATTTTTTAAGTACAAAAATATTGGAAATATACGAGGTGTGATCAAAAAATAAGGTGACTTTTCATTTTTATAAAAAAATATTCATTTATTTATCCAAAATTATGTTATCCCCTTCAAAATAATCCCTTTCTGATACAATGCACTTGTGCCAGCGCTTTTTCCAGTCGTCAAAACACTTCTGAAATGCACTTTTGGGTATTGCCTTGAGCTCTTCTAGCGATGCAGCCTTAAACTCCTCAATCGTCGCAAATATAATTTAAAGTACATTTTGACACACGAACTAATTTTTTGTTAACATATACTTATTATAATCAATTGATTATTATAATCAATTCTTAATAATAATATGGCAAATAATATATAAAAACATATATACATATATATATATATATTTTGTATTATATATATGTCATTGTTGTTATATACTAATAATTATATAGTAAAAATGTTATACACGCAAGGTGTTTTTGTTGATAGAATACATTTGGAAAACAAAGCGTTTATGTTTCAAACAAAAATTGTAGGGTTTTTGCAACAACCCTACTAGAACACCCGTTTTATTCATGTATCTTACCCACGTAGCACACTAGTGCCTAAAAAGAGCTAAAAAAACGCTAATGCAGATGCAAAACTTCAGCGGTTTTTTAGTGATTTAAAAGCGCGTTAAAGCTTTTAAAGCGTATTTAAAAACTATAAAAAGCACTTTAAAAAGCACTATAAAAAGCGCATTATAAGCTCATACGATCAGCGCAAGGTAAATGCAATTGCATAGCACTTTAAGCGCCCTCAAAATCTGTGTAAAAAGTGCATTATAAGCGCATTATAAGTGCAGTTTCAAAGCAGTTTTGCGAAAAAAATAGGTTAGGATTAGGACCAGATGTAAGTATCACACAATAACACGTAAAGCGAATAGAAACGTTAAGAAGATGCTGAACCGTCCTGTTATACCGACGGGATATGTCATTTTAGTAGATTGGACTAATCTCATTATTTAGTGTATCAAATGGAAAACGCTTTTCCAGAAGAAAAGAACGTAAAGAAACACTTATCGGTCTGGTGCTTTTTGGTCTAAAAAGTACCAAAAGTTACATTGTCCTATTACTACTTGATCATATTTTGCTATTTTTAAACAATTTCTAAGCATTGTATAAATATACAGGCACCAGAGCAATAAGCGGATGATATAAAAGAATATAATGGAACAATTAGAATGTGATTTTATTGTCTAGTTTACGAGAATAATAAGTTCTTCTAATGAAGCACATACGATAATAGGCAGGATACGCACACAAGCAAACAGCCGCGTACGTATGCATATCCCCACCACTATCAGACGGGCAAACCGAACGAAAGACAAGAAAAGAAATATACGTCTATCCTTGTATAGAGGGCACAACTTACTGGACAGCGTAGCAGCAAAGCAGCTGTTAAGCCGCTGGTTCAGCATCCTCTTATAGTTTTTATTATATTTAACACGTAAATATACAAATTCATACATATATAAATTCAAGTTTCAACGTTTTAGACCGATTATATCAATATTATATCAATAAAAAAAAAGATAGCTTACATCGTAACTATTTTGGCATAATTCTTCTCTTACAATTACTTCAAAGCCACATACTAATAGAACCTGTGACTATTGTCCTCGAAAAATTTTATTTGTATTGTTCGGCACATGCATCTGAAAAAAGAGGATTAAAAAACTACTTATTTGCATTCTAAATACAGAAATTCCAAATACAAAATTTAATTTATAAGGTAATAAAATCATATTTATTGATAAAAAATAAAGTATATTTTAAAATATAACAGGACTGAAAATAAAAAAATTTTGTTTCCGAATCTGTCTAGTTAAATAAATAGCCACGCCAGAAAAATAAAAAAATAGATCTATTAGATATATATATATATATATATATTGTTGCGCTCACGGCAGCGTTTAATCGCGTCACCGCCGAGTTACTGCGCTCCACGGAAAGAAAAGAGAACACCGCGTATAACACACTAGAGTTTTATTAGAGAACGCGTTACAAAAGGCCACGGAAAACGTAAAGAAATTTCGAGTCAATGATCCAGCCTGTCGACGATTCCGAATCCGGCGGCTCACTCTCTTGAACCTCGCTGTCAACAAACCCCCTTGCTACCTGAACAAAAGCGCCCAAGCGATCGATCGTTGAAAATCTTCATATACCGCATGGACGACACACGCCGCATCTCGCAACACTGCCCCCTCTCTCTTCTAGATCATTGTCCCGATGATCAAAAAGAAGCCAACCTTCCCGCTCTCTTCCAGACTGATGTCTCAGAATAAATGAGCCAGTTGACCGGAAACTCTTCTCGATAATCTCTTCTAGGGTAACTTCTGTGTCCACAAAATTCTTCCGATTTCAGACAAGGGGGAGGGAAACTCACGTGGACCCATCGTCCACAAGGACACCCCAAGTCCCCGCCTCGGCATTTACCTAAAGACTCACGGAAAACCACGTTCAAAACCGTGAGCAAGGCGGACTTCTAATACGGCCTCAAAAATGAAAATCTCGCAACGATTTGACGCGACGCAGATGTCCCCTGACGTCCAACGACGAAACAAAAAATTCATGGTAGCAACGGAGTTATAACTGAAAGAAAGAAAACTAAACAAGTAACTACGCTTAACAAAAAAAAACAAATATCCAAAATACAAAAACAAAAATACACCCCCCATTAGTCTACACGGGACTCCGACGCGTGCTCCCATCTTTCGCAAAACGAAGTTAACCTATCAGCATGCACCACTCTAGTTCTATGCCTATCCGAGCAACGAATACAATATACCACATCACTCAATTTCTTAACAACCATGTAAGGCCCCTCCCAATTTCTCTGCAACTTAGGAGCTTTCCCCTTGCTTCTGTGAGAATTAAAGAACCAAACCTTTTGCCCAACATAAAAAAGAACGTGCCTAGCTTTCAAATCGTATCGCATCTTTGCCTTGTTCGATTTCATTTCTAAACGCTCTCTAACATCCTGATGAATCTCCTCTAATTTCGATTCCAACTCACAAATATAATCTTCTGAAGAACTTGAACAGTAATTTGACGGAGAGCCCCGTAACAAATCTAACGGCAGACGCAAATCACGCCCGAAATTCAATTCGGCAGGTGAAACCCCTGTAGCTTCATGCCTAGAAGATCTGTAAGCAAAAAGAAACATAGGAATCCAACGATTTCAATTCTTCTGATTCTCATCAACAAACTTAGACAAATACTGCATTATCGTCTGATGCTGTCTTTCAACCTGCCCATCAGACTGCGTATGAAGCGCAGTAGTCCTCGTCTTCTTCATTCCTAACATCCACGACAACTCCTGAAAAAGTCGAGATTTAAAATTTTTACCTTGATCCGTATGTAATTCTAATGGCACCCCGTACCTAAAAACTACTTGATTAACAAAAATCTCCGCTACAGTTGTCGCCCTAATATTCTTCAAAGGAAAAGCTTCCACCCACTTGGAAAAACAATCCACTACCACAAGAAGATACTTATTCTCCGAAGAAGACGCCGGAAAAGGACCTAGAATGTCCATCTGCAATCTCTCAAAAGGCGCGCCGGCACTGAAAACCTGCAACGGAGACTTACCCTTGTCCGAAGGACTTTTTTTTGCAATACAAACTTTGCAAGACCTACACCAGTTTTCCACATCTTTTTTACATGAAGCCTAATAAAACCGCTTGCGAATTTTTCCTAGCGTCTTATTTATCCCAAAATGAACTTCAGAAGGAGCATCATGAGCCTCCTCAAAAATTCGGTTAATCCTCTTCTGAGGAACAATTACTTTGGAATTACTGAGGAAGAAAACTTGACTTCAAATTCGGAGGTATTCACCTTTTATGCAGAACTCCATCTGAAACCACTAAAGCGTCCCAATGAGACCAATAAATCCTTGAAGAAGGGCCTCTAGCAGAAACTTCTTCCCAAAAAGGACGACAACCCTTTTCCTTTCCAAGTAAAATAATTGATACGACCTGATCTTCCAGTTGATCCTTTTGCCACTCCTCGGATGCGCCCCGCTCAAAAATTATTCGAGCTACCTGCTCCTCTTGTTTCAAAGCATCTCTCACCTCTACTTTCGAACAATACCTGCAGCAAGATTCCGCACAAGGTCGCCTAGAAAGCCCATCCGCGTTCCCATGCGCTCGACCGCTCCGATGAGCTATTTCGAAGTCATACTGCTGAAGCCTTTCCGCCCAACGAGCTAATTGACCTTCCAAATTTCTAAAAGACGTAAGCCATTTAAGTAAAGCATGATCAGTGCAAACTCGAAACTTCCGCCATACAGATAATGATGGAAAGATTTCATTGAATCCATCATTGCCAATAATTCACGTCGAGTAACACAATAATTCCTCTCAGCCTTACTCAATACTCGACTGTAATAAGCGATGATCCTCTCCGTCCCCCGCTGAACCTGCGATAAAACCGCGCCAACACTATGACCAAAAGCATCCGTGCCCAAGATAGATAGATAAATTTATTGATCTTCTCAGGGTTACAAATATATTTACACAATCACATCTTTAAATCGACCTTACAAACTACCTTAAAAACTACCTTATATACTATCTTACAACTATCTTCCAACAAATCTTAAACCTAACCTAACCTAATCTATACACACACACACGCTTACCCTACTCTATCTGGACCTCCTCTTCCGGCAACCGTCTCTAACTAGATAGTGCTCTCTCATTCTCTCCATTCACCCTTATCCATTTCACTTATTCCATCCATAAATCCATTGATATTCCTTTCTCCACTCAATCTCCCCCCCATCTCAATCATTTCCTCCTCCTCCTTCCCCTCCTTTGTCTCCCTTCTCCTATATTCTTCCAGCTTCCTTAACCACCGTTCTCCCTCCCCCTCTCCCCCCAGAACCACCTCTATCATGTCTTCTCAATTCCCTTCCATCCCCCATACCCCACAATCCTCCCACACGTGCCTCCATCTCTCCTCCACCAAACCACACATTCTTTCCTTCTCTCCCTCCCAATATCTTCCCTCCCTCATCTCGTTCTCCAACCTAAACCTAAACCTAGCCACCTTTTGGCATCTGCTTTCCCCCCATCCTTTCTTTAAATACCCCTCTTTTTTTACCTTTCCGTACCACTTGTTGTATCTCGAATTCCCTATCCTCATCCACCTCTCCTCCCTTTGCATCTTCCTCTCCTTCTCTATCAGTATCTGTGCTCTCCATTCTCCTGCCTCCCTCCTCTCTCTTAATCCCGCCATCTTTACTCCCCTCTCTTCATAATATTTTATCTTATCCCTTTCCCACTCTGATAAACCCTCTCCATTTCCCTTACTATTTCTGATCTTCTTCAAACATAATTGTGCTATCTCGCTGCCCTCCCCTTTCTCCAACCTTTCCTCAAATCTCCAAGCTCTCTGCCCCGCTCTGCCCCTCAATAGATCCCTCTGGACTTCCTCCCTTATCATATATCCCGGAGTCCTCCAATCCACGCCCAACAACCACCTTATATATCTGTCCTGTATCTCTCTCCGCTATCCCATTCTTTCCAACTTCAGATCTCTACCCCGTACCTTACCACTGACCAAACCAGCGTGTCGAACAGCCACAGCCTTCTACTCCAATCCCCACCGAACCTCTTCTTTCCAATCCCCCACACTTGACTCATAACAGCCGCCCCTTTCTTCACTTTCTCTTTTATCTGCGCCTCTCTCCCCCGTTTCTCTGGAAAACATACCCCAGATATTTATACTCCTTCACCTCTTCCAGTCTCTCTCCCTTCCACCACCATTCCAATTTTTTCTCCCTCCCTCCCCCTTTTCTGAACCTCAACACTTTTGATTTCCCCACATTAACTTCTAACCCCTTCTCTGCCAAATATTTTTCCAACCCTCTCTTCATCCCCCTCATCCCTTCCTCCTCCTCCGCTAACAGCACTACGTCATCCGCGTACGCCAATACGAAAATCTTTCTGCCTCTTACTTTCACCCCTCCCCACCCGTTCCTCTCCAAATGTTCCTCCATATCTGCCGTCAGCAGATTGAACAAATAAGGGCTCAATGGACACCCTTGCCTCACCCCTCTACTTGTCCAAAATTCATTTCCCAACTCCCCTCCTGCTCTCACCCTATTTCTCGTTTCCCTATATAAATTCCCGCATCTACTCACTAGACCCTCCCTTACCCCTCTTTCCCTCATTGCCCTCAACAATGTCTCCCTATTAACCGTGTCAAAAGCTGCCCTCAAATCTATGAATAACGCTATTAGTCTCCCCTCCTTCCTACTTAAATTTCTGCTCACTATGTAATTTATCACGTAAATGTTATCCATAGTCCCCCTTCCCCTCCTAAACCCCGCTTGACCCTCCGGCATCAATTTCTTTCCCTCTACTTTTCCCTTAACCTTTCCGCTAAGATCTCTGCATATACTTTATATAAAGTCCCGGCTAACGTCACTCTCGTATAATCCTCTACCTTATCGCCTTCCCCTTTTTTTTTAGCACTGGTACCACTATCCCCTCATTCAATTCATCAATCTATCCTTCCCCTGTCCATATCCTCCTACATAAATTCCATATCCAATCCTGCATATTCCTCCCTCCATACTTCCACACTTCCGCCGGTATTCCATCCTCCCCGCTGCCTTCCCTTCCTTTAGCTTTTCAATCGCCCTTACAATTTCTTTTTTTCTTATATCCTCTTCCTCCTCCTCCATTATTCCCCTTTCCCCTCTCACCTCTTTCCAGTCCACTCCCCCGAGCTGCTTCTTAAAAAAGTTCTCCCATTCCTCTATCTCAATCCTACCGCCACCTCCTCCCTTTCTTCTTCTTTCCCTGTTCACTACCTCCCATACTTGTCCCATTGTTTTCGCTTTCTTAACCACATCTTCCCAGGCTCGATTCTCCTCTTCTCTTTTCTTATCACATAACATCCTATACTCTTTTTTCCTATCCTTATAATCCTCCTTACTTCCCTTCCCTTCCCGCCATCTTCTTAATTCTCTTCTTACTTTCTTCTTTTTCTGTGTTTGCACTCTTCATCCCACCTTCCCTCTTTTCCTTACCTCCCCCTCTCCTAGTACTTTCTTTATTCTCTTTTTCATATTCTCCCATTCCTCCTCTACCTCTCTTTCCTCTTCCGTCATCTCCTTCTGCATTTCCTCCATCCATTTTCTTTTTCTTTCGTCCAACCATATTATTCTTTTTATTTGACGTTTCCCTCCATCCCCTTCTCTATTCCTTCCAATCCTCCATCCTTTTTCTTTCTTTGATCTAAACCATTACTGGGTGGTGATCCGAGTCTACCTGATCCCCTATTTCCATCCTCTCCACATACTCCTTCGTTCCTACTTCTCCCAAAACATAATCGATCACTGATTCTCCCCGCCCCCCCCCCCGTATAAGTCCATTCCCTTTTCTTGTTCCCTTCTATATCCCCGTTCCATATTACCCAACCCAGCTCTTCAATCTTTTCTAGCAACAGCCTTCCTTCCCTATTCACTTTTTTGTCTTTTGACCTTCTTCTTCCCTCCTCCTCTTCTTCTTCCCCCTTCACCTCTCCCCTCTTTTCCCCTGTCCTTGCATTGAAATCCCCTCCCACTATTGTCTTTACTTTCTTTCTCTTCCCCTCCATCCACCCTCTTAACTCCTCCAATTTGCCCTCTACCCCCCCCATTTATATACACTCCCAAATCTTCCACCACTCACCATCTATCCTCACTCTTCTCACCAAGATCCCTTCCCTTCCTTCCCATCCCTTCTCTTTCTTTGATTCTAACCCCCTCTTTACCTCCAGCATCATCCCTTCTATGGCCCTACTTTTTCTATTTTTTTACCCGCCCACTGCACCTCCCATCTGAAATTCTTCGGCAGCTTTCCTACAATTCCCACCTACCCTTTTTTGTTTACCCAGGTTTCCACTAGCATCACTACGTCCCACTCCTTCAACCCCCACCAGAAACTTTTATCCTTGCTTTTGAGCCTTGCCACATTCCAAAACGCTACCCTCACCCCTTCCTCTCTCCTTATTCTCTCTTCGTCCTTATCCCTCTCCTTCCCTATCCGTAACTTCCCCTTACCCCACCCGACCTTTCTCCCTTTCCTTTCTCCTTTTCTCCCTGCTCCCCTCTTCTTATTATTTTTGTTAACGTCGCTTTCTCCTCTTCCTATCTTTACCAGTCACCCTCTATCTTTATCCTGTTATCTTCCACCCACACATTCTTTCCTTTCTTCCTCTCTCCCGCTGCTATCACCCCTAGTCTCCTCCTAACCTCCCTCTCCTTCCACGACAGATCCTTCTTGATCCAGACTTTCCTCCCCTTTAATCTCCTCTGTTTATCCCATACCTGCTTTTTGTCCTCCTCCCTCTCCAACCTTACCTACACCATTTCTCCTCTATCCTCCTTACCCGTACTTATCTTTTTCATTTCCCTAATTTTAACTTCTGCTGCTATCTCTTTAAAAGGTTTTTTAACTTCCCATCTCCAATCACCTTTTTTCCTCTGAACTCTCTTTATTATTAAATTCCTCTTTCTTCTCTTCTCTCTTTTCTTTCCCTCTA